ACTCCTAAAGGTAAACTGGAAAATGAAATGAATCAGTTATATGAATTCCACAAGCAAGGTGCTTATTTATATATAAATAAATCTTCCATTTATTGTGTAAAATTAGTTTAATATCTAAACATAAAACTGGTTAAAAAATTGTAAGTTAATCATAAAATTTTTAAATTATTTTAACTTTAAATTGCGCAATTTTCGTAATTGAAGGCGCAATTATCGTTACGATAATTCCTATTTTTCATCTTAATTATGTATTAAATTCATTCGAATATAAAATTATCAATAGAAATTTATATACACATTTAATTTTAGAAATTATTTTAATGATTAAGCTGTTATATAAAAATATATTTATGGTTTATTTTCAGGAATTTATTGCAGAAAGTTTTTAAGTATTCTATAATGGAATATAATTGTATATAAATACTTAATAAGAAAAATACTTTCATGTTTATAACAAATGGAATTGTCGTTAGTTGACTCGAAACTTGGAAAGGGTAAATTGTTGTTTTTTTCGAAATTTTATTGCTCGTAATTATATGTAATATGCCGCATCTGTGCTGACGTATAGCTAGAATGTTGCAAAATATAAGTGATTTTTAATAGTTTATTACTAATCGGTAAAATGAAAGATGGCGTGGAAAGAAATGGTAGATGATCCCTATAGTTGCTAAAAAGCTAATTAGACTTCTCTTTTCATCGGGTAGCTATAAACATCTAGCAAGAGTGAAAGGTTCCTCTAGTAGTTTAGAAATTTCGCATTTAATTTGCAAATATGTTTTAATTCTTTGTGATATTAAATAGCATCGTGTATAATTTTAAAATGAAGTTTATCTTTGTTATATTTTATTTCTTAAATATAAAATAACATTTTATAGAGCACACGAACTTCTTTTATTAAATGAGTTTTTCATCTATTAGCAGTATCCGCTACTCGTGTTCTAATTATGTACGGTACAGTACATCGTTACTACACGAATGAAGTACACAAAGACCGCGTTGAACTTTCGAAATAATTGATCTTCTACTTGTTATCAATTTATCTTCATTCACGATTTTAGACGGCAGCACACCCTAGAGGTATGAAGGATACACGTCGGGAGTTTTAATTTGGCACAGAGTATTTTGTGCCCAAATTGTGCGCATATAAAATAAACCAGACTTGTAGGTAGTCGGAACACCGAGAACCGGGTCAAAAGAAAATACGAAATGCTGAGACTGTTTCTACAAACAGGAGCGAGTGCGAGATTTACAAGTTCGAGACATAGTCTCGTCCCACAAATGGCTTGGCCGTTTTACTTGTTTTAAGAATAAGAGACGACTTATTCTGTTATAAGAGTCTAAAAATTGAACAGGTTTTTCCTTTTTTTTCGAAATATGAAAGAGGTTTTTCCTAAATAAATCAACATCTTTTTTGATTAATTATAATATTTTAAATTACTTTTATATATTTTTAAATTTTAATAGAGAGGTTGAGGCGCACCACGTTTTAAACGTGTAAACGTGTGCGTGTGACGTTCGGCGCCGCTTTCCCGTAAGCCTAAAAGTTTGACGATGGTATTTGGAATGTCGAGCGTGATTCCACCGACTATCCAAACACCATTGTAAAACTTTTAGGCTTACGGGAAAGCGGCGCCGAACGTCACACGCACACGTTTACACGTTTAAAACGTGCGCCTCAACCTCTCTAATGTTCACACTTACTGCGTTTCAGAATTTATACTTTTCCGCTGCTGAGTATAACTTAACAGAGGAAAAGTGTCAATCAATGAAAAAATTACCCTCGAAGATTTTTATATTTTTCATTCAGGAACCTTCAAGCGTTGAGAAGTGCAAAAATATTTCTGTTTTTTTCCAGTATCTAAGGTTGTTTGTTAATGCGTGGGGTGTACTACTTTGTTCACGCATTTTAAGGCTTAATAACTCCTCAGTTTTTTGTCGAACGTTTCTGAAATTTTGCACGGAGGTTTTCGTATTAGGGAGATCGATGCCCTTAAATTATAGTTGTTACAGTCCGAAGGAGTGAGGAGATACAAGAGGTCACGTGTCGTAGCTCGAGTTGGACTTGAAGATTTTACTGTGTATTGATATTTAGAATTTTCTATAAAACTCATTTCTACCCTCAAAATTAAACTTTTTCCCTTTTGTGATAATAATATAAACAGGTTTTAAATTAAAATCGCTTTACAAATGGCGCCAAACACAATTTCAAAGTTTAGCCGGAAAAGTTACGCAACTCGTTGTTGGATTCATTTGTAAAGGAAACGTTATCAAGTAATTGTTATTTTTGTTACATACAGTAAGAAATGTTTATTGTGATTACTACTTATTAGAAAGAATAGCAACGACCATTTGATTATTATAATTACACCATCTAGTACAGGTAACCCTCGGTTTAAGCCGGTTCAATTTACGCCGATTCACAATAACGCCGTTGTACAATTTGCGATTTTGCTGTGTAATTCCCCGATTTTCCCTATGCCAGACTGATTTTCGTTTCAGTGTTGACGTATTTACCGAGCCGCGACATTGTACAGTACATTCGTTAAAACAAAGATTTTTATTGAATATATTTATTTTTTCTGTTTAATATTATTGGGTATGTATACATTTGCATTAAATTAATATTAAAATACTAAACGTTTAGGTACCCACGAGTCAAAATATTAAACTTAATAGTCCAATAAATGGCGTCCGAATCCATAGCGCCAATGAATGTATCCCGTATCAGTTCGTTCAGGAAAACACCTTACGACGCAATAGCACTTCCGGCGATCACAAATTATCGTTAGTGAGACAAATGTACTTCTCGTTGGCCAGACGATATTTATCTCTCCTTAGCCACCTTGAATTTTCCCGCTTAAACTGACCTTAGGGCTATATATGCGCTACGGCGACCGGTGGTCGACCAATCAGTGTCTCCGCTCGTCTGTAGCTCTACGTCGGGTTAACGTATCCTTTCGACTATGAAAAGTTTGACGGTTGAACTTTGTGAGTAAGACAATGATTGGGAACGAATTGCAAATGTAAAAAGGAGCATCGTCGCATCCATTCGACCATATTCCGAAATTCTCAATGAAAGAAAACAAAAATGTTAACAATTAAAGATGGATTCTTTTTCCGAAAAATGTAAGAGATCCGAAACTAAAATTTTTAATAAAAACATTTAACTTTATTTTATGATAAAATACATTTTAAAAATTAAATTTATTTGTACTTTGTATTATAATGTATTAATAAACAAAATTATTTGCGTATTTTTCACTTATGTGGAACCTAACCCTATACCTCAGTGTAAATATGGGTTCGTTTTACGCCGATTCGATTTGCGCCGGCTTTTGTAGGAACAGAACTGCGGCGTAAACCGAGGGCTACCTGTATTAAAAAATTGATCAGTTTTTTTAAAATTAAGTAATAGATTGATTTGATAGCGTTACTTAGTATTTAGAACGAGGAAGACCTGAAAATTAGGTTGCGCTCGGAGCCCTCCACGTGCTCGATCCGTCACTCATCTATTCTAATTAATTAAAGTATATCAAATTCGGGTTACTATTTTTATTTCGCATAAAAGTCCACCTGTCTTATATTTTATTTAAACCAAAACACTTTTCTGCTGTAACGAGTAAGAATTTTTATGCATTCTCCTTTTTACTTCAAACTAAGGTGACTATAATTATTTGTTAGATAATTATGTCATTTTTCTGAAAATAATGCTATAATTTCATTTTTAGTAACAATATTAAATATTTAAAAAATAATCTAATACGTTAAATATGTTTAATCGTTTTAATTGTATGAAATATAATAATTTCCAGACACGGACTGATGAAGGGCGTAGTCCGAAAGTCGACGCTATAAATCAGGTTGTCCTATAAATCGAGTATCTTCTTTTTAATGAAAAAAATTTTTCAAAGTATTTTTATAGCTTATAATGTGTAATTTTAAAGCTTATGTTTATACTTGATTGGAATTAAAACAAAATGGATTTCGGTCATTATTTACGTTGATTTGTATTTATTAAATCACTTTAATCAACGAAATTTTAAAAAGAAATTATATCTTGACTCGAAATCATTTGTTTAATTAATAATTAGAATATCCTAGAATTAATGATCTATATTTGTAAACCCTATTAAGTTTCTAGATGATAAAAACTAAACTTGTAAGCATACAAGTTTAGGTTTTTTTATCTAGAAATCTAAATGTCGTCTGTCAATGCCATCACGTGATACTCGTCCCAGTATTTATAATAATGTATGCAGTGTCAATTAATTCCGATCGTCAATAACAATAATGAATCTCCTGGAAGCACTTATCGTATCAATAGTTGCCTTTTATACAAAGAAAGATCAGAAAAGAGAACTGTTAAAATATCCTCAATGGGAATACGATTACATTATTGGTAAGTTGCATTGTAAAATTATTATCTTTTTAATTTCAATAAAAATAATAGATAATTTTATTCTTTATTTATAATGTAATTAAGTAAATATATAATAAAATTTTTAAATATTTATAACATTTTATGATTTTGTTACACTTATGAACCCGGATAAAATTTTTACGTTATTAATTATTATAAAAAGGTGAAAGGCTTGATTTTAAGGGTAACGACGAGTTTTTAACACATTGTAAATGACAATAATGAGTAAAATTTTTATTAAGTCCGACCCCATTCGAGATACAACGCGTCACCTCTTTCTATTTCCCCATATCCTTGATCTTTAATCATCAATATTTAATTCTATCGTGTATTATGATAACCGTGTCAAGTTTTAAAATTTTTGATTGGCTCATTCCTGAGATACAATTTAAAATAGATGCCAATAAGCGAACGGGCAAAAAGAATTTTGTAAGGGAGATTTTTACTTTTTAGGATATTTTGTTTGTCAAAACGTCGAGAAATACGAAGAAAACGAGAGTGAAATTTCATCAATTATCAGATTTTCTCTATTTTATATAGTATAACAGTCGAGATCGTAAAAAATAAACGTAACAGTTACGTTCATTTTTACGTTCCCGATTGTCACACAGTTCTGGAGGAGTAGTTTATAGATAAAAAACAAATACTATAAACCTGTTCAAAACGGAGAAAAAGATTTCGGTTTACTGTTTAAATATTTTTTGTAGTGGGAGGAGGAAGTGCCGGATCGGTGGTGGCCAACAGGTTATCAGAAAATCCCCTTAATAGAGTACTATTATTAGAGGCTGGAGGCAACGAAAATATTTTTTCCCAAATTCCTACTTTGGCTGCTGCTTTTCTACGAACTTCGATGGCTTGGCAATACATAACCGAACCTCAGCACTTTTCTAGTTTCGGTTATAAAGACCGAGTAAGTAAATTATAATTAGTTCGTAATTAATAAAATAACAATGTTTATAATACAAAATAATTATTGCTAATTAAGGCCGCAAGATGGCCGAGAGGAAAAGTATTAGGAGGCACAAGTTCGGTCAACTTTATGATCTACAGTAGAGGGAATCGACGAGACTACGATGGTTGGGCTCGAGGAGGAGCGCATGGATGGAGTTGGGAGGAAGTCTTTCCTTATTTTCTTAAATCTGAAGATAATAGGGATATTAACGTTCTAAGGAATGGTAAATATTAAAATATTCCAATTTCTATTTAATAATAAACCACACACACCTGATTTGTATTTGCCGAGTTATTTTCTTTATTCATTCAAACGTTTTCGGTCAATTTGTACAGGCCATCTTCAGGTTTTAATGTTGTTCGTTCCAATAAACCTGAAGATGGCCTATACAAATTGGCTGAAAACGTTTGAATGAATAAAGAAAATAACTCGGCAAATACAAATCAGGTGTGTGTGGTTTATTATTAAATAGATAGTATTGCTGAGAAGGTAGATGGATATTCCAATTTCTTTATTAATTAAGTTAATTAAATAATATTTCGGTCATCTTAATTTTCACTGACACGTAGTTAATGGAATCATATTATTTAATACTTTATATATAGAACCCATTAAAATTTTATTTTAATTTTTGCAACGTAATTAAATACAAAATTAGATAATAGAATAATTAGAGTTTTATTAAAATGTTTATTTTAAATCACATTTCTTATCATAAAGAGCAATGGAAAAGAATACATAATAGATATGTTTAACTAAGGTGCTATAAATGATAACTGACTCGTCTGCCATTTTGAATCGTAGACTTTACACTTAGCTGATAGTAGTCCGTGTAGCCAGTATTTAATGCGCAATTTTATAATTTCTAGTTTTTAAGGTTATGTTCAAATTTAATATACTCTTTCAGTTAATTTGCGCTTCTATTTAATTTAAATTGTTATTACACACGAAAGAAGAAAGTGCAACCTCGCAGAATTTAATTTTGGCTAAAATTTAAAAGATTTGATTGACCAACATCTTTGTGTTTCCCAACAAGGAAATAGGATTGCCAACTTCCGGGTGTAACGAATTTCGAACATAGTGTGAAAAAATTCTAAAAAGTAATAAACAAAAAACACCTAGAAACGTGGAAACAATTTTTGCTTCCTTTGATGAAGATGATGACGAGACAGCCGTATAGCCCAGGCAGTTAAGGCGTCAGCTTACCACTCCTCAGACCCAGGATCAAATCCCTGTGAGCAACTCAAGGAATTTCTCGCGGATGATCCGTTTCGGATATATTAGATTTATGTCTCTCACCATCCCCCAGTGGGGATCTTGCATAATTTACGATGGATATAATTAGAACAGTATGTCTTAGTGTTTATAAGCAGGAAGAAAGAAAAATAAAAATCTGTAATCTAACGGAAAGAAAATAAACCTGATTACAATTGGAGTGCTACCTTTTCACGAGGAAGAGAGCGCAGTTAAAATGGACACAACTTCTAGTTCACTTTTAGGACGTTTCCGAATATTTGGTAACTCTATTAGGAAAACAACTATCGATTATGCTGCTGTTAGGCGAATTTGTAGTGAGAGGGATTTTTTAAGCGCATGAAACATTCTTTTTTACATATATAAAAGAAACTTTTGTATTTTACAATACAATCATTTTACGTCAGTTATAAGATACATAGAGGCATGTTTTTCGACAGATAAATAAATAATTGTTATTTTTAACATTTCTGAAGGATACCATGCTTCGGGAGGTTACCAAACAATTTCTTCTCCGAATTATATTACTCCTTTAGTGAAAGCATTTATGGAGTCCGTCTTGTTAAATGGTCATGCCATGAGGGAATTTAATGGACCTATTCAAAAAGGTGAAAAGTGTTTTTAACTAAAAATAATTTGAACTTTCTATTCGATATTCTTTTGCTAATTTTTTATATTTTATTTCAGGTTTCGCTTTTCCACAAGCCTTTAAAAGAAATGGAAGGAGATGTAGCAGTAACAAAGCGTTTCTTCATCCAGTGAAAGATCGCCCGAATTTAACTATTTTACTTTTTTCATTTGTTACGAAGGTAAGAAAATAACTCTTTCGCCTCTTTATGCAAATCTTGCTCGACGGATAAGGAGTAAGGAAAATTAATGAGGATTGTGCACATCATTCTATAGTAGCAGTGAACAAGTCTAAGAACTCTTTTTCGCCAAGTGGATATACCAAGGATCGAAGGGAGATTATTACATCTTAAAATGAGATAGATGAGAAATAATATGATTGTTGAAGTCATTTTTACATTTAATTCCAGAAATATGAGGCGAATAGAACAACTAACGTGTTGCGTGTACTGAGTTCGTTTTTCTAAAAGAACATTCCGATTATATATTATTTATTTCCAGGCTCTGCTATATATAAAAGAGGGATAGTATGGCGATGGGTCGAAAAATGACATCCCAAAATACTTACATTTTTGGACTCGGCGGACTTCGAAACGTCCAGAAATGCAAAAATTTTGGACATGTTTTCTTTATGTATGAATGTTAGTTCGTGTATGTTTGTGGGAGGCACAATTTTCTTCACCCTCTTTGAAGCTTAATAACTCCTGTGCTTTTTGTCGAAATTTTTTGAAATTTTGCACTAAGGTTTGTGTAAGGCACTTTAGGGAGATTGATGGCATTAAATTTCGACGTTAAAGGTCGAGTATTATTTCCCACAGTGAGTGGGGGTTGAAGGCATCGAGCTACATTTGGTTCACAAGGATGACGGTGTTTTAATAGACCAAACGATGACGGTTTGGACAGAGCAGACTCGAATGTATACTGGATGAAGGGGCGAAGACAATGGAGATCAGATGCCTACCACAAATAAAGATGGAAAAGCACATGCACACTTGCAAGCACTCCGCTCTGTTCTGAACTCCGTCTTAAAGTTCTTTTTTCTTTCTCCTTACCCTCGTAAGCTTATTTAATGATCCATCGATCCTGTGAATTTCCGGAGCTCCGGTCGGAAATCCTTTTTATCTGGAAACTACCGGTAGTTCCTTACCATTTCCGTGAAAAAGAGTTTACAATGACTCGAGAATGATTCATTCAAGCAAGATAATATATTATCTTACATGAATGAATCATTTCTTTTTATTTGTAAGCTTCTTCACATTTTAAAGACGACATATTTCCATTAAATTGTCGGATGACAGAAGATTGGTGTTCCTAGTCTATTCTGGATAGTGAAAGAAAGCTCAACTCGCCTCGTACGAGGACGACAACAGCTATGAACTAGACTAAGCTAGGCTAGGCTGACCTGATCTGATACTATCTCCTTTTATGAAAAAGTACCCTTCAATCGAAACATTCCAAACAAACCCTGCACCCTTCCGACGCGTGACGGAAGTTGGGCGTTTTTGCGGATAGGACGTGAGAAATCCCATGTTATTAATTTAAGCTATTAATTTTGAAGGAACTGTGTCATTTTCCTCCAACAGGAAGTTCCTTTGTTTCAACTTCGTACATTTTTTACAAAATAAGTACACAAATTACTCGGCTCCAGATTCTCATAATCCCATTTGCTAGGGTTTTCGAATGTCATCGGAAGACCACGAGGATTTTTCTGAGATTAATCGTCCCTCGATCCAGAAAAACGTGTTAACGCTTTCGCTCTCTCGTTACGCTATTGCTTAACTATAAGCTTAAAATGCGCTTGCAATTTTTATTCCACAATTTTTTTCTAAGTTTTTTCTTTTAAAGTTCCGTTTGGTGTAATATGACACCTATTTTTTTTCTAAGCAACATCATTTTATTTATGTGTCCATTCTTTTTCTGTGATTCTTGAACACTTTGTTGTCAAAATAATTTACCAAATTAACGAACGTCAAATCCAAGAAAATTTCTCAGTATTATGACTTAGACACTTCACAATTTCAGCGATATAAAACATTTAATGAGTTTTACTTAATAGCCATTTTCATTAAGAATATTGTACGCTGCACTTATCATTCTGCTACGAAGATTTATTCGGCTGGCATAAAAATTACTATAAGTTTTATATGTCGTTCGAATTTCGATACAACATAATACAAAACACCATTTCAATTACATTCATGTTTTGCAATGAACTGTACTAAAAGCAAAAATAAAAAGTTCTAAATATATCTTCCATTTAAGAAAATATTAGCTTAGTAAGTACCGTAGCTAGACAGGTGTAAGGGGTGCTCGGGCACAGGAGCCCAGGACAGTGGATATTCATAAAACGACATATGAAAAAAATGATCAGTATGATATTTTTATTCTTTCAATCACTATAACAGTATATTTCTATTAATAGGACTTATCATACTGGTGTATAAGATTACAGCCTCACAGTTACACAGATTAAAATTGTTTTATTTTACAATTACCTGCGGATTAACTAAATTATTGTATTTATTCTGAAAAAACTTACCAGTAAATTCACCTTTTGATTTTTCTTTGTGTCTCTTATTCTTTCTTTCTAATTTCTTTAATTTGTACTTTTTATAATTAATATTGGAAGTTATTATTAATTTATTTATTTTCCTTATATCATGTTGTTGTAAATTCCCGCTGATACTTATTGGTATACTTAATGTTAGTAACTTTATATCTTCCATTTTACATTTTCTCAAATACCAAATTTCCGATTTTAATTTTTCAATTTCTCTCTCTGTGTTTTCTGTACTTTGCATTTTCTTTTCCACCAGGATTTCTGCTATATATATTATTAAAAACTTCGTTAATTAATATGCATCTATGTCCTTAATTTAATCCAAATTATTCTTTCAATCACTATAACAGTGTATTTCTATTAATAGGACTTATCATACTGGTGTATAAGATTACAGCTTTACAGTTACACAGATTAAAATTGTTTTATTTTACAATTACCTGCGGATATCCTATTTTCTTAACTAAATTATTGTAGGCCTATTTATTCTGAAGGTAATATCCGAAGGTAATTGTAAAATAAAATAATTTTAATCTGTGTAACTGTGAGGCTGTAATCTTATACACCAGTATGATAAGTCCTATTAATAGAAATACACTGTTATAGTGATTGAAAGAATAATTTGGATTAAATTAAGGACATATTAATTAAGATAGCATATTATAATTAATATGCTATCTTAATTATCTTAAATATAGATAGCATAAATATAGATGCATATTAATTAAGTATGATATTTTTGTTTTGAAATTTTAATAATTGAATGGACAGCATCCTAACGGTAGGATAACTTTAATCGCTTCTTTGTACAGTAACGAAGCATACCAGCAGGATGAATTATATTTCGTCTTGCAGTTCGAGTTTCGAAGCGATAGTTAAATACACAACTTCGCCACCCGGCCTCTAGGAATAGCAGATTTAAACATGGCGACTTCCTTATGGCAAGGATACCGCGTTTTCGTCTCGGCGACCTATTTTGACGCTGCGAAAAAGTAACAATGAATACAGCAAAGGCCATATCAGCGATAAATGAAGCGCAACACGTCTCGCACACGATGACGAGTGTTGCAGGAGTCCGGAAGTCAGCTAAAATGGAACATCGACGATCGAATTACCCGAGTAAAGAAGCAGGATCTTCGTGTTCGTGGCCCTCAGCTACCCCGCAGCCTAGTGCAAGCCTAAGTAAAATATATAAAATAGTTATACATTTTTGAAATTTCATTATTATTTGATGTAGCCCATTCTACCAGCAGGAAGAGCTTATATAATAATAGTATACTGCTGGTAGGATCCACCTACTTGAATGGCTATCCAGCACTGTCTACTGTCCATTCCATTATTAAATATTTCCTTAGTGGGGTTCGATTCCGTAATATTTCTGATTAAAATTAAAAACTGACTGTAAATTTTTATCTCGTATTTGTTTTTTACATATTTTTTTCCTTAAAAAGATAGAGTCAAAATAAAAATCTTGCACGAGGCACACGAAAATCTAATTGTGGCATTCAGTATTGTTATACTATAACCGTATGTTATGATAAGTTCAAGAATTAAATACAACTTTTCAGATTATTTTCGATCATTATAAAGTTGCTAGAGCTGTTCATTTCGAACGTTTTGGTCGTTCTTTCGTCGTGTATGCTAGAAAAGAAATCATCGTGTCCGGAGGCGTTATTAATTCTCCACAACTTTTAATGTTGTCGGGCATTGGTCCTAGAGACGATTTACACAGACTTGGGGTAAACATTTACTCTTTTTATTAGATTAAAAGAGTAAATGCAATAATAATAATTATTAATTGTCATTTTTTTCATGAAGATTCCCGTTGTTTCCGATCTACCCGTCGGATACAATTTGCAGGATCACGTACTCACGTACGGAATGGAATTCCTAGTCGACGTGCCTTACAGCTACAGTCTTCCTCGTCAGTTAAAACCGACAAATATCGCTCGATTTTTTAAACATGGAGAAGGTAAGTTACTGTTTCTAATTTGATTCGGAACTATTTTTAAAATTTATTAACATTTTAAAGGACTTTTGACTGTGCCTGGAGGCTTAGACATCATAGGATATATGGATACGATATACGCAAATCAATCGGACGATTATTCCGATATAGAGATCAATTTTTATTCTTTCACCCTAGCATCTGATGGAGGGAAAATCTTTCGTCCGGTTCTTGGACTGAAAAACGAGGTCAGTGGTTTTACGACCGTTCTATTGAACACCTGAAACAATTTCATAACCCTCAGTTTAATATTTATATAGATATGGGAACGTTGTTATAAACCGTTTTCTTACAAAGAAGCATTTACTATAATGCCTATTTTGCTCCGTCCTAAAAGTCGAGGGTACATAAAATTAAGGACTGCGAATCCTCACGACTATCCCATCATCCAACCTAATTATTTTTCTCATTTTGACGATGTTCTAGTTTTGGTTGATGGTAAGAGCTTTTTTGAAATTATGCAAATGATTTTATAAAATAAATTACACGTATCGTTTGTACGGTTTAGCCCTGAAGAAAATTCTTAGGTTTGGAAACTCGATAGCTTTAAAGAAATACGGAGCTCGAGCATTTCCTAGAAGAATACTTGGATGCGAAAAATATGTACAGTTCAGTGATGAAGATCTGCATTGCATTGTAAGAACTATGTGCTCGACTGCGTATCATCATGTGGGATCGTGTAAAATGGGTGCAATCGAAGATCCCACTACGGTAGTGGATCCAATGCTAAGGTTTGATATTGCTGTTAATTGCAGAAAAATGATTTTTTAAATACTGAGTAAAAATTTAAAATAATATATTTACGGTCAAATCTGTCTAAACAACATTTAAGCATCATTTCGGCATCATCATTTTGAAACTATGAAGTGCATTCCATTTGTTGTGCATATTGTTCTAATGTGGTAATTTTTTTAAAGCATTCGTGTAGCAAGTTTTTTATTTCCTTTGCTTTCTTCAACATTTCTCACTGAAATAAGTGAAATAGAATTTTTTTTTATTTTAAACCCACTTTAATTATACTTAAGCTAAAAATTTATACTTTGCTCAGTAGCCGCTCCATCTTGGTCATCATCAAACTCCATTTCTAAGTAGAATTTCGTCGATTGTTACATCATTCACAACTGCAAGATCTTTGTAGTGTTAAGGCAGTACATCATTTTCATTCAATCGCTCCATTAAAGTCTGAATGTCAGAAATTTTTCGTGATAAATCCTACTCTTCTAACTCGGTTCCGTTCCTGTTTTGGATTAAAATTTGACTTTTTTAAACAGTTTCGTATGCAGTTTTATGAGCATCTGATATCCTTCGAACAGCGTCTAATACAAAAATTTTATTAGATAATTCATACGCGGAATAGCATGACCTTATATGAGCACAAATTGATTATACACTTGTTTTCTATGCTGCATTTTAAAATTTTGAATAATTCCCTGATCTTATGGTCGTCGTGATAAGTTAGTGCCAAAAAACAAAATTGAATGTTAGATAAATCGAATCGTAGACGGCACATAACATTATCCAAAAAGAGGAGAACATTTTCTTGTTTGCCAGTCATATAATGGGCAGTTCGTGAATATTTAAATTTTTACGGAATTTGAGATTCTTTCTATAACCAGTGGCTTTTTCATTATTCCATTAGCAAAAAGCTCACACAAGACATGTGACTTTTTTCCTTTAGTTTCTATCCTCCGATACATTTATCTCTTTCTCAAATTCGAAGCGAACTCGAAAAAGCACTTTCATCACATTTAGTGCCGTCTTTTGGTCATAGTCCTTAGTTAATTCAGTCAGTTTCAGCTTTCAGTGTTCTACTACTATCAGGTCGACGTCTTCAGCTTACCCACAAATTAGCGGGAAAGTTATTTCGTCTCGAGCTTTGAAGCTTTCAATCCAACCATCAGAAGCCCCGAATGACTCGTACTTCAAAGGTTATGCGATAATTTTGGCTTTCTCTGATAGAATAGTCCTGAAATTGAAACATTATGTGATCTCTCATTTAGAAATCACTCTTACACTTTTTCTGTTAACAGTTTCATTTCCGAGTTTTTTCGAATATCCTTACGTTTACAGTGCACTTATCCATTCTTCTTTGATATTTTTCTTTCTTTCACGGAATTTGATAAACTCGTGTTTTGCCACAACTAAACTTTATGCAGAGTTCATTAATATTTAAATGTTGTTGTTCTTTATAATATAAGCTCGATTTTACACTTTGAACTTAGTGTATTCATCTTTATTCCTAACTTCCCGCATATTAAACTGATGCTGTAAATCGTTTAGTGCAACTGTACAGTTGCACTAAAACTCCGTTAACTTATATTTTGTATGATAAGAGATAAGAAAAAACTTTGTAATAAGTAGGTTTCCGTCTTACTGAAAGTCCGGCTTAAACAGGTTTCACTGTAGCCCTATTTATTTATTAAAGATATTAATATTTTGAGATATATACTGTACAACGGCGGTTCAACTTTTGCCCAGAATAAAAGAAAATAGTTGTAGTTCCAGCAGAATTATGTCATTTAATCAAACATGCATGTATTAACATAATCTTATTGTATGTATCTTTCTCTTCGTACGCCCCTCCGAACGGTGACACTTTTCCCATCGTTTCGGCAACGATACCAGAGTGACAGCGTACGGAGGAGGAGCAGCGGGAGAAAGAACCAAATTGCTACTACGTAACACATTTCTGACAGAAGTTGAACGGCCCTATTAACAAGAATTAAAAATATAAGAATTTTATTTTTAATACGTTTCAATTTTGTTTTACAGAGTAAAAGGAGTATCCAGATTAAGAGTTGTCGATGCATCGATTATGCCAACTATTGTTTCGGGCAATACGAATGCTGCCGTACTCATGATTGCCGAAAAAGCATCCGATTTGATACGGGAGACTTTTTATTTCTAATAACCAAGTTTAGAAAAAGATTTTATTGTGATAAATAGTCATATTATATATTGAAAAACTTTTACATAAAACACTGAGTTAAGTGTTTTATTCGTTTGATATGAGCATGACCTTTTATTTTTATCTTCTTTTTTGCAGGTTGTTTAAAATACCGCAAGTGTAAATCATCACGTTTGAAGTTGATTTTAGTTTTAAAAATCAAATTTTAATTCCGGGGAATTTTAAACCATCATCCATTTTCTCCGTTGACTCTGCTCACTGGACGACATACACAGTATCAAAAGCATTGTTACATTCGTTGTAGGACTGTAAACGGCTTATGGAGTATTTGATAGAGAAATAAATTACTTCTTTATTTGAGATTACCACTTTTTCAAGAGGAAAACACTATCAAAATATCTCATTTTGTTTATGATACAGAAAAAAAAAATGTGTCCAGGAAGTTTTCGCTATATTAAGCGGGGAAATTAGACAAAGTATAATATCGTGTACCGGTAATAACGCAGGATGATAATTAAATTTAAAATTTAAAAATTGGGAATGCAAAATGTAAGACTCTGGAGCATCATCAGTACAAATTTTAAACTTTTGTTTTTTAATTAAACTTTTTTTTCATTGTTTTAAAGGAACTTTTTGATTTTGACGGCCAACTAGCCTACAAAGAAAGATCGCTTGTCAAAAATGTATTCTGGAACCTTGACATAATTTAAACTAGGAATCATCGTTTATTCTAACAGACTGCTTTCAAAAATTAACTTTTAATTTTTTAAATTCTAAAAGTTATATTTGTTGTAACGTCCCTTGCTCATTACAAGCAATATCGTCCCTACTCCTAATATCGCAGTTACTTCCAACTGGCTTTACGACAGCGGTATCAAGGTACAAGTCCATTCGCTGTCGTATCGATACTTTTTACGTAACATCGGTATTTCGAGTGACAGTGAAGAGCTTTTATGAATTAAAATCCGCCTTATCACTTAAGTGAATAGGTTCATAGCAACGAAGAATACGTTTAACTATAGTCTATTTATGTAATAATAAGATGAATAATGAAAGTAAACTGTAAATACAAGTTGAAATTTATTATCAACTAGCTGCAAGATCCCGCTTCGCTGGGTTTTTATTTGTATGTAATAGTATAGTTTTATATATATATATAAAAGACTGTTTTTCTAAGTAATCTAGAATCTAGCTGCAAGGACCCGCTTCGCTGGGCAAAAAGTAACGATAGTGAAGATTAAGATAATTACATTATAGCTAATCTTACCCGTTTTCACAGAATGCAAGAATTAGGTCCCCCGTTTCCAGACTAATTAGAGAATTTTTACGTTTAGTCAAACGAACTATTTTCAACGTTTCTGGAACGTTTACAATCGTTCTATAATCGAACCAATATTCGAATTTTATGTTCGAATTTAATTCGAACAAATTCGAACAAAACATTCGAAATAGAAAGCCACTTTCAACCACTTTCAGCCTCATATCTCCCGTACCCTTATAACTATCGAGACGCAACCACCCCTATGCACGAATGGAGACTTGGGGCTACCACCACATACAAACACCATTCACGTGCGATGTGTAGTTTTGGCGAAAAAGTGAGATATAGGGACATACATGTCCATTTATATATATATATATATATATAGATGAACTTACATAAAAAAACAAAATAATATTTCAATTATTAAAAAGGTAGCTTTTAGCCCTTGGTATAATTAAATTAAATTAAACTGTATACTAATGTGAGGTAGATAAAAAGTAAGGGCTTATCACACCAGTGATAAAAGCACAAACACTCGGGAGTCAATACGAAACATTTAATTAGATATAAAGGGATATATAGTAAAAATAGCTACACGAGTATGATTATACTATATAGATATAAACCAAAATGCATTTTGGACTATTGGAACAGTCCCTCTTCAGTTGGTATTAATATAAAATTATTATACATAAAACCGCCGTAACGACATGAGCAATAAACATTAAATAGGTGCGAAGGAGACAGGAGTAAAACGTCTTCATAATATTACAACGTGTCTTGACGTAAAAGGTTCTAATGCAAAGAGACATAAATTAGCGGATTTAAAGGTTAGCAGTTACGGAATAATGTTAGACATTAAAAATATATACCTACCACAACTGCAAAAGAAATATCGTTGAGAGTAACATTATTACAGAGTGCAGAGCAGGCACAAAGGACATGTGGTACAGGCAACGCCCGGTGAACAAGTGATGACTGATATACGATACAATTACAAATTTTACAACAGTTTTGACAAGATAGAATCATAAAGTCACAAACATATTTCGTGTGTATAGATATAACTGTAATAAACTTCATCAATTTTAACACCTATGTTTAAGTTGTTAAGCTATGTGTTTTTGAGTTTTATTACAAAAACTGGTACCAAAATAACGTTTGAAAAATTAAAACTGTATTAAATAAAACTAACATATTTTTAACATACGTAAGTTTAAAAAACTCTTCAGTACAAGTGTTGTTTTTAGAGTTAACAGTATGTTACGATTACACACAGTTTGTTTTAACCATACGTCTAGTAAAACTTCAGAGTAATTATTTAACAAGAAAATCTTATTTGTTTGTTAAGTTACGGCAACGAAACACTTGGACGATCTTCCTAAGGGAATACCTTCCGGGAGGTCTTTTTAGACCAGGCCCCTATTTAGGCGTTACAGGCGTGGAGGAAACCCGGAAAACTCCGCGTGGCTAGCCCGTCCGAGCGAGGAGCGAACCCACGACCGAACTCCCAATATTCGGGGTACGAAGACCGCTTGGCCACTGGTGGGCCTAACAAGAAAATCTTAATAACATCCATGATTCCAATTTCCTTTTTATACTCGGAAATTCTATTATAAATTTTCTTGGAGAAAGTAACAAAATTTTTCTTTTTATAAACAAGTGAGTATGCGAATGTTAATTTAATTTAAAGTAATATTTGTTCGAAATGTAATTAATAAAATTTTGTAAATCAGATTTTTTTCTCGCTGTTAAACATTTCGAAATTATATGTTTTGTTTGTACGTACATTATGATTTCAGGTATTTTTAGACAATTATTTTTCAATTTATAATATAAACATTCAATTTATAATATAACAAATAAAAATTTTAAAACTTTTTATTAAAATTTATTTTTCTATGTTTCATTTTTACTGTTTCATGGAGGAGGGAGTGAGCTAAAAGATGGTCATAGTCCAGAAAGTCCGGCAAACACCGAACTAATAATGTCAACAGTAACAAATAAATATAAAAATTGTTAACAAATGCAATCATTCAAGTTGAAATAAAATAGTTTGATGAATCTATTCATAAAATTGCATGTACTGTACCTAAACATTAGCATTTGCAGTCGAAGAATGGATAAACAACAACGCCAAAGAAGCCGATAGGCAGGGTTCAAGAAAACATCTTAAACAGAATTCTTTCTCTTGTACCTTATTCTTTGTGTATAAAGTAAATTAAATACACGATTTTCATGAATTTCCATAGCAATCGAAGAGAGGTAAGACCGTAAGTTTAAGTTGTCGTTATATCACTAGTCTATTGTATATTCGCAAGAAATTTTACGTATAAACCGTGTTGAATATTTTAATAATTCACGAGCGTAATTCCACATTCTTTCCTTCATAGTAATATACAGATTTCCTTTCTTTAAATGGAAAAGAAAATACTGTGTTATTTTTAAAGAAAATGAATTAATAAAATTAAAATAATAATTTAGAAAGAATACGATTCCTTGTTCATAACAGAGTCGACTTCACTTCCGTAGTTTAATCTGCTTTCCTCTTCTATATTATAAATTTAATATGAATAATTACAGCAGCTTCTCGTATAAGCAATGTTTAAGACTTCACAACTATTTAAAGGTTTTAATAATTACTAAAATTTTAAAATTCTTGTACATAAGTAGCATCATTTTCCTGCTTTGTTGCGAAACATTAATTAGTATTACAATTAAAATAGGATATAATAAATTATAATCAAGATAAAGTTAACAGAAAATTAATGTACGAATTTTGAAAATGATGAACTTAAATTCATTCGGAAAAATTAGAATGATAAGAAAGTAAGACTGTAAAGAAATCCAAAAAACAATCCAGTGTTTGCAAATAAAATTAAATAATATTTCCTGTAAAAATAATAATAATTTGCTATAAGTTGTATTATTCGGAGATAGAAGAATGTGAAAAACTACTTACACTAATAACGTCTTTCTACCTCGAGGGATGGTCGAGTCGTCTTCGTTCAAAACAAATCTCCTGATGCCCAGAACGTAATCTTCCATGTATTGGTACCAATTGAGTTTCGAGATGTCGAAATCGAAATTCTGAAATGTAATTTCTATAATCTTGCATATTTAATATTTCGTTTGAATTATTTGTTTTTGAATTATTGCCATTGTCCACATTTTAATCACTCCTCAATCTCAAACTGTCCAAACACACTAATATACCTCAATGTGTCTGAATCTATTGTAAGTAATAATGATAATCAAATGTATTATTAATTCACAGAAATCATTATAACCGATTATATTTTGTTGCTTGCGTGTTACTTTGATCTCATGCGTCTGTTAATTGGTAATCCGATATTAATCGGATTACCAATTAAGATAGAAGAATGTGAAAAACTATTTACACTAATAACGTCTTTCTACCTCGAGGGATGGTCGAGTCGTCTTCGTTCAAAACATTGGTATAATTGTTAGTTGGTAATCCGATATTAATCGGATTACCAACTAACAATTATAAATGAAACAAAATCATTATTTTTTAGATGCGTTTTTAGAATGGTTCGAAATTTGAATACATTGATGCAAAATTTCATTACATTAAAAACACCGCGTAAACGCAGCTCGTGACCAAACTTATTCCAGAAAGACTGCAGAACACAATACATTCAAAACAACAATAACAACAAATTTTTCTTTTATGAGTGGTGTTTCGTATGTAAAAATTATTAAGATAATGTTGAGATATAAACACGAATTATCACAATTATTTTACAAGAACACAAATGTTTCTTAATAGACATCGTGATAAGAGAAAAAATTCCTATACTCTATGTGTTTTTATTCTAAATAATTTAACTTTTTACCATGTATACAAAGGCTCAAAACGGTTTTCGTTCATAAGGAAAATCGCTTCACCCTGTGGTATTATTGTACTGTACACAAAAACATATTTCTGTAAAGTACACGCCGTACAACTAAACACGTATTGTCTGCTGCAGTCTTTTAAAATAATGAATGTTGAATACAAAAATGGAATTCAGAAGCTTTCGTATTGCAAAACGTCCAAAATCAATTTCATCTTCTTTCTTTTAACAAGAAATTAGTAATTGGTCATAAAGTAGTTTGACTTCGTGGTTTGATGGGTATTCGGCAACCCAATATTTGGACAATCTGCCAAAACCCTTTATGGAAACTGACCCATATTTAGGTGTGAGACGCGTAAAAAAGCCTGAAAACTACACGTGGCCAGCCTATTGGCCAGGCAGAAACCAGTGATCAGTGATGTTATGAAATTCGGCCACTGATAAGCTCCTTCACTTCCTTAAACTCGTTGAATTTTTTTGTCTGTAATTCCAAGCGCATTTTCAAAATCCTTTCGACTTATTTCGAATAGAAATTAAGCATTTCGCAAATTTATTTCATGTCAAGTATTTTGTGCATCCTGTTTCAATTTTGAAGGGTGACACGGAAATCATAGCATAAAATCAACAATTTAAGTCTGTATCCCTATACCTGAAGAAATATAAAAAGTTACTTCACGAGATAGCGTACCCGGAGGATACAACAAAAGTTTAAGAATTTTAGAACCAATCGAATTTCATAATATCATTTTCCTTTTCCCATTGTAAAGAGGCTGTCGAGACTCTATGTCACGCGTGGAACAAACGAAACACTGCTGTAGAGAAACCAATGTATTTGTGAAATCAAACTTACACAGCAAACTTTTTTGCTAATTCTATAAATATATTTTTTATTGTATATGTGTATGAAGCTAAGAAATAGTAAAAATATATCGTATATAATTATATGTATCTATATTGACTGTATTATTATATTTGAGTTCTCACTACAGGATAGTGGTACTTCGCGTGACTAAAAATTCTTCTTTATCTCTGACACTTAGACTTATCTGTACTAGTCATAAGATACTGTTTATTTTATTTGAAATTAATCCTACCTGTTTATCTTGCGTCGACATCGTTTCCAGTAGTTCCTGCACGTTCCTGGCACCAAACTTCCAATCCCATACACAGAAATATTCTAACATGTTTATAGTCCTATGAACTTTTTTGTAAACGTTCATCATCCTAAATTAGAAATAATGCGAATATAATTTACAGTGTATAACACGTAACCTGATTACAAACAACGTACTTTGGTTTTCTGCCAACGGCAATTTGAGATATATCGAATAACAAGGCAGGAAATTGATGCTGCACTACAATGCATACGCGATTCCAGTAGTAATTCTTCTTGGGTATTTTTGTTGGATATAAAAAGGTATTTTCTGAGGGGTAATTCCAATAATGCGTTTTTAAACATCCGAAAAACTGGCCCCAAGTAAAAGGATTTATGGATCCTGAAGTGCAATTGTAAACAGGAATTTCGTTTTCACTGAAAGAAAAGAAGAAACTGTGTTTCTAGAATATGTCTAAAAATTATTTATGATTTCTTCAATAAATTAATAATTAATAATGAAGCGAATATAGCAAAAACGGGAGAAGCGACAATTTTGCCGTATAGCATACTTACGCGTTGTTACGTAGCATTTAATTAAGGTAATTGTAATCTGTATAGTTACGCGTGCGAACACCACTACACGCAGATAAATCTTGACGCTTTTTCCATCTCAAAAACCTTACGTATTTAATTCTGCTATTACGGTTCAAAATTTTGAATTCATCAATTTTCTACAAACTTTCTGATTTTAAAAATCCGTTCAAAATTAGCGTATTGCATTTTCAAAATCCAGAACCTCACTTTTAGTGCAAAAAAACTGTTTGCTTCTATCCGTTCCAAAGAATATTTGAGAATGTTTTTTCCGAAGAAAAGGCAATACATTTTTAACGCCAAATTCTGGAAACCGCGTGCGTAAATTATCTTTTCGTGTTAAAATGAAATTCATGAAACGGCTGCATGTGTTAAGTACTTCATGACGCGTCGAGTGTATATTATATTGGAAGAAAACAAGAGTAAAAGACGAGAAAGAGAGAAAAAAGAGGAGAGTCGTGCAAAGGATACTATTAACGGCAAAAAACTTTGCGAAAGTTCATTAGTGAGTGCGCATGAACTTGCAGGCTTTTATGTTGAAGTCATCAAGTGGTCAAGGACGTCAGATAAGGACTGTGCTGACGATATGCCCTGACTTATCGTTCGCTTGTATTTTATGCTCAGTTTAACATAATAAACTGACTCCACCTGTACAACACTTGAGTTTAGTCGTTCACACGTAGTACGTAAATATCATAATATTTAATGTATTGATAGAAACGGAATATGTCAATTACATTTAATTTAATAAAATAATAACCGGTTACTAGACAACTTTGTTCGTACAAATGATGCACCTTTATACGCTCAACTTACATAAACAAGAGTAATTCTATTGCTGTACAAAAACCACGCGAAAGATTTGTGACTTCTATTTTTCAATATACGATTTAATTGAATTCGGAATCTTTTCAAATTCGCATGTTTACGAAAGAGTTTGAGGTTGTCGGATATCTTTTACTAATTTCTATTAATTCGCATGCGAATTTGTATACATAATAAACGTTGATTGAGCTATTTTAAAATAAAGAAGTGTCGTGTGTTTTTTTCAATGTGTAGTATTTAAAGTTAAAACGTTTTGTAAAGATGACATATTTGTTAATATATTGAAACTTTTATAACTTACCTTCGATGAGAAGTAATTGCCTTTCTCCAAGTAGCAGCTAACATCAAATTAATCACTGCGTCTGATGGAATGAAATCACAAACTTTGTCTTCGTCAACCAACATGTTCCTGAATATTCCTTTCAATCCCTAAAAATAGTAATGAACACTAAAAAGTCTTTTCTTGCCCTCGTGTCCGATAACTGCAACCCATAAAAACCTGCAAATTTATTCCAAAACTCCATGAAAGTCCTTGATTTCTCAGAACAAATACTGTAAGCGTATTATTTAATAGAACAAAAACTACTTTATGTAATATTTACTCCTGTTAAAAACACTCACGTTAAAATTGAAATGATAAAAATATTTAAATTTTATAAAAATTTATAAAAAAAATCAATAAATAAAACTTCAATTAAAAACACCAAAACAAGTATATTAGGTGTAGCGATACCAGGGTATATCCAGATGTCATTGTATACCCTGGTAAACGTCGAATACTCGATCAAAAAACAGTATCCGACGTTTAGCACTACAAAGTACTGTGAGAGTCGGACTTGACAAAAATTTGGAGCGAAAATTCATTTTTCGTCTTTTGAAAAATACATCCAATTTTATTACCGAATGATCGCATCTCTCTCCCCGGAGTCGTTTCCTTTCCCAGGACTCATTGAATGTGTCACTGGGAACTAATAGCAAAAATTCCCGATTGATGAAAAAGGATAACGTAATTTGGAGGAATAAAAGGAGTGACTCAAGAACAAGGGGTCGTCCAGAGTTCGCGAGCGTATCAATCGAGTGCCCTGAAAACCCCAAGAGGTATCGTATCCAAGATTTCATACTGTGTTGTTTGACACCTTCGAACTCCCCGGATTATTATATCCTTCAATTTCCCTTGGTTTCACCGCCGTCCCAAGAAAAGAAAAATTAACGCCTCTCCAACCGCTCCAACCGACCGAGCCGACGAACGTCCGAAAAGTCAGCGATTCGGAATCCGCACAATTAAGTGCATCAAAGGTATATGAAGACTCAGAGGTGTTAGTCCTGGCGAGGCACTAAAGAAATGTCGACCTCTGGTCACAGTACGCTGTCTTAATTCTATCTTCAATTTTAAAAGAATTTAAATTCACTTACAGACGCAATTAAAGAATCTGCACCACTATTGTTGTCGGTCCATCCCTAAATAAAGAAATTTGTACTGATTACGCACAAACGTACAATTTACTTCGACGTATAATGAAAATACTTACGCGAAATGGTTCCTTCAAAGCGCAACCCACGACAGAAGGTCTCACAATAACTATAGGCAAATCTCTACAAAAGTCATTTAAATAATTTTCTGTTATGGCCTTTGTTAAAGTATACGTGTTGGGTCGACCTTCTGAAATATTTTTGTCCGTTATATCTATCGAAGCATTATTTTGTGGACTGCAAATAGAAAGAAATTAATAAGATGAACGTGTTTAAACATTGGGAAATAAAATTGCAAATATAATGCATCTAAACTGTCATAATAGAATACTTTGCGATGCTTTGAAATTCTTCATAAGTTCTTGACATTGTATAAATTTTTTCATCCACTTCCTTTCTATTGCAGAAAGAATAAGCTGTAGATGTGTGCAAGAAGGCCTGAAATTATGTTATATATATATATATATATAACCTGTATTATATTGAATAATTATAAAGGAATATAACTACTATGATATAACTGTATAAACTCTTATGGGTTATTTCATAAATATTCATATATATATATTATGGTATATTTTCTATTTAAATTAAAAAAACAAACGATAAAAACAATAATATAGAGGTTTGTAGAAAATCTAATTTTTATTTCAATAAGTAAACTGATTGTATGGACTATTTACTACGAAAATCGTAACAAATATCTTTAAAGTTAATTTGCATAATTGACAATTCGTTGATTAATGTCACGTCCATTTAAATTAAGTAGTATTGGGAGAGAAAATGATATTGAAAGAAATGTTCTTTCTGTGTTCAAACTCATTTTTAATTAATAGAGTTTGCGATCGACTTCATTGAACACAGGTTTAAAATACAGTTTAGAACCTGTTTAGAACTGTATTTGAAATTGAACAAGAACTGCCGAATATCTTCGCAATATGATAACGAGCTTCTTCATTTAAATATTTCAAGAACGTTTGAATCTCCAGAATAAAGAAGATTTAATCACCGGCAAAAACGATTAAAAAATGATGACAGAAGAATATAACCCTATACGGTTAACAAAAATATTTTGTTTATTAAAATTTCTTAAAACTATTGATACGCATATGTTTTAAGTATGACTGAAGAAGGATTTCAATAAAGGATATGACATTCGAAATGTATTTCATCAAGTGAGGATTGAAAGACAGGATTCATGGTCCTCGTACTAGTAATTTAATCTGTTTATCTCATTTTAATTAAAAAATTTTTTTAGATTTGCTCTAATTTTAACACATTTTAATAAACAAGATACTTTTCAGTAAAGATTAACGTTATGAAAATTTAAGAAAAATTCTTTCAAGCTCCATCATTGAAGAGTCACTGAAGTTATTGTGTGATCATTAAAGTTTTCTTTTACAATACAAACATTATGATCATTAATGCAGTATAAATATTTCCCGTAATTTACGTTTCACAGAAATGAGGGATGTAGTTGGAATGTTTCGATTTTAGTAAGAAAATATAAATATAAATAAATACGGCTTTATGAAAACACGAAACACTTCTATGCTCATTTCAATTTCGTATACAATAAAATCTAAGCCGCAATAAAAATACTACAAAATATTTACCGATAAATTTTTCATTTGGCGACAAACTTCGATCACATTTTTCGTCGCTTCCACGTTATTGACGAATGCATCTCTACAAAATAAATGAAAATAAATACGCAAATCACAAAGTAATGCGCTTAATTAAGGAGAATCTTACCGAAAAGGCTCATTGAACTTAACTGAAGCGGCCAAGTGAAACACCAACGAAACATTCTTCGCTATCAAATTCATGTCCGAAAAAGAAATTCCTAAATTCTCTCGAGTGAGGTTCCCTTCGATGCATTTCACTTTGTTGTAAATATCCGGATTTTTCAGTAAAACATTTTCGAAAATCTTTTATAAATATAAAGAACGTATAGAGTAAAACCGGATGAAATGTCTACAGTTTTTCCAACGCATATATATCGTCTAACTATGGTTTCCAGAGGAAATAAGTATAAAATGCATATACAGCCAAGAATTATCTTTTAATAAAAGTGAACAAAGTTAAATAAAAGCTCGACCTAACAGTGTGATAGCAACAAAATGATATGTCTGTTTTGCAACTACCCCGTACCTCCGGGAGAGTTGCCTAATGTTTAAGGATCGGATGACTGTTTTATTTAGCATTCAATTTAATCGACGTTTTGCACTTTTTGTACTTTCCACACTCGTTATACCCCGAAACACACAGTGTGCCTATTTCCTGTCTACGTTTTTACTTAGGCCTATATATAACAATTGGGAAAATATGGCAATTAGTCAAAAAATGGCATCCTCCAGAATTTTACATTTTTGGACTCGGGAGGTTTCGAAACGTCGAAAAATGGGAAAAAATGGAGCGGGGTATTTTCTATATGTATTTCCTTGCATAAAATGTTTATAAGTATGAAATTTCTCATGCCCTTGTGATTATTTTAGAAAATCCCGCATTTTTTCAGTGTCGTATTGAATCGGTATTCACAACACATGTGAATTTTGGATCACACTACAATTCTTGCAGAGAAATATAAGTAAAATATCAAGCATGTCAACCTATTACTGTACATTATAATTTATCTTTTACAAAATAGATTATAATAACTTACTTTACAACGAAACAATTCCGTCTTCCTTTCTTCCGCTGGCATTCCTTCTTTGCATCTGATTAAAACGTAAATCTTTCTGGTATTGCAAGACCTTAGCAGTTTCTCTAAAAGCACCTTCAAATAATATAAAATTATAGTATAAATACACTAAATACATCATCTGTGTATAAAACATACGAGGTAGAAATGCTTGCCTTTCCCAAAGATCCCGTTACTCCTGTTATAAATATCTCACGAAATTCGTAAAATTTCGAAATGGACATTCTTCTTTTGTGAATCTATTGGATATTCACTTGAATGACTCGATGTAGACGATATAAAATTTTGTCTATCAGTAAAATTTTCTATGATTTGTAATTAAATTGTATTAAATATTTTATTTAGAAAAGTTAAAGTAAAAACGTGGTTGCAAGTACAGTCGACCCCCTATAACACTGTTGATTATTCCGTTTTATACAATTCCATGTTGTACGAGTCACTTAGATTTTACAAATATGTATGCCGGGCTGTGAACAGCTCATGTATTTGTAAAATCGAAATGACTTGTACAACATGGAATTCATATAAAACGGAATAATCAACAGTGTTATAGGGGAGTCGACTGTTTTATTTTAAAGTACAACGTTCTACACCTTTCCATTCATCGTACATTATTAACACCACAGAATAAAATATAAACAAAAACTTGACTCGGAACACCATGCAACTTTGTTTTAACGAGATGTTTCTAGTAAATTAATTTATGTAATAATAAAATATTTTAATTAATATTAGTACATATAAATTATCTTTCGCTCTCCATCAAATCNAATTATTAAAAAGGTAGCTTTTAGCCCTTGGTATAATTAAATTAAATTAAACTGTATACTAATGTGAGGTAGATAAAAAGTAAGGGCTTATCACACCAGTGATAAAAGCACAAACACTCGGGAGTCAATACGAAACATTTAATTAGATATAAAGGGATATATAGTAAAAATAGCTACACGAGTATGATTATACTATATAGATATAAACCAAAATGCATTTTGGACTATTGGAACAGTCCCTCTTCAGTTGGTATTAATATAAAATTATTATACATAAAACCGCCGTAACGACATGAGCAATAAACATTAAATAGGTGCGAAGGAGACAGGAGTAAAACGTCTTCATAATATTACAACGTGTCTTGACGTAAAAGGTTCTAATGCAAAGAGACATAAATTAGCGGATTTAAAGGTTAGCAGTTACGGAATAATGTTAGACATTAAAAATATATACCTACCACAACTGCAAAAGAAATATCGTTGAGAGTAACATTATTACAGAGTGCAGAGCAGGCACAAAGGACATGTGGTACAGGCAACGCCCGGTGAACAAGTGATGACTGATATACGATACAATTACAAATTTTACAACAGTTTTGACAAGATAGAATCATAAAGTCACAAACATATTTCGTGTGTATAGATATAACTGTAATAAACTTCATCAATTTTAACACCTATGTTTAAGTTGTTAAGCTATGTGTTTTTGAGTTTTATTACAAAAACTGGTACCAAAATAACGTTTGAAAAATTAAAACTGTATTAAATAAAACTAACATATTTTTAACATACGTAAGTTTAAAAAACTCTTTAGTACAAGTGTTGTTTTTAGAGTTAACAGTATGTTACGATTACACACAGTTTGTTTTAACCATACGTCTAGTAAAACTTCAGAGTAATTATTTAACAAGAAAATCTTATTTGTTTGTTAAGTTACGGCAACGAAACACTTGGACGATCTTCCTAAGGGAATACCTTCCGGGAGGTCTTTTTAGACCAGGCCCCTATTTAGGCGTTACAGGCGTGGAGGAAACCCGGAAAACTCCGCGTGGCTAGCCCGTCCGAGCGAGGAGCGAACCCACGACCGAACTCCCAATATTCGGGGTACGAAGACCGCTTGGCCACTGGTGGGCCTAACAAGAAAATCTTAATAACATCCATGATTCCAATTTCCTTTTTATACTCGGAAATTCTATTATAAATTTTCTTGGAGAAAGTAACAAAATTTTTCTTTTTATAAACAAGTGAGTATGCGAATGTTAATTTAATTTAAAGTAATATTTGTTCGAAATGTAATTAATAAAATTTTGTAAATCAGATTTTTTTCTCGCTGTTAAACATTTCGAAATTATATGTTTTGTTTGTACGTACATTATGATTTCAGGTATTTTTAGACAATTATTTTTCAATTTATAATATAAACATTCAATTTATAATATAACAAATAAAAATTTAAAAACTTTTTATTAAAATTTATTTTTCTATGTTTCATTTTTACTGTTTCATGGAGGAGGGAGTGCGCTAAAAGATGGTCATAGTCCAGAAAGTCCGGCAAACACCGAACTAATAATGTCAACAGTAACAAATAAATATAAAAATTGTTAACAAATGCAATCATTCAAGTTGAAATAAAATAGTTTGATGAATCTATTCATAAAATTGCATGTACTGTACCTAAACATTAGCATTTGCAGTCGAAGAATGGATAAACAACAACGCCAAAGAAGCCGATAGGCAGGGTTCAAGAAAACATCTTAAACAGAATTCTTTCTCTTGTACCTTATTCTTTGTGTATAAAGTAAATTAAATACACGATTTTCATGAATTTCCATAGCAATCGAAGAGAGGTAAGACCGTAAGTTTAAGTTGTCGTTATATCACTAGTCTATTGTATATTCGCAAGAAATTTTACGTATAAACCGTGTTGAATATTTTAATAATTCACGAGCGTAATTCCACATTCTTTCCTTCATAGTAATATACAGATTTCCTTTCTTTAAATGGAAAAGAAAATACTGTGTTATTTTTAATGAAAATGAATTAATAAAATTAAAATAATAATTTAGAAAGAATACGATTCCTTGTTCATAACAGAGTCGACTTCACTTCCGTAGTTTAATCTGCTTTCCTCTTCTATATTATAAATTTAATATGAATAATTACAGCAGCTTCTCGTATAAGCAATGTTTAAGACTTCACAACTATTTAAAGGTTTTAATAATTACTAAAATTTTAAAATTCTTGTACATAAGTAGCATCATTTTCCTGCTTTGTTGCGAAACATTAATTAGTATTACAATTAAAATAGGATATAATAAATTATAATCAAGATAAAGTTAACAGAAAATTAATGTACGAATTTTGAAAATGATGAACTTAAATTCATTCGGAAAAATTAGAATGATAAGAAAGTAAGACTGTAAAGAAATCCAAAAAACAATCCAGTGTTTGCAAATAAAATTAAATAATATTTCCTGTAAAAATAATAATAATTTGCTATAAGTTGTATTATTCGGAGATAGAAGAATGTGAAAAACTACTTACACTAATAACGTCTTTCTACCTCGAGGGATGGTCGAGTCGTCTTCGTTCAAAACAAATCTCCTGATGCCCAGAACGTAATCTTCCATGTATTGGTACCAATTGAGTTTCGAGATGTCGAAATCGAAATTCTGAAATGTAATTTCTATAATCTTGCATATTTAATATTTCGTTTGAATTATTTGTTTTTGAATTATTGCCATTGTCCACATTTTAATCACTCCTCAATCTCAAACTGTCCAAACACACTAATATACCTCAATGTGTCTGAATCTATTGTAAGTAATAATGATAATCAAATGTATTATTAATTCACAGAAATCATTATAACCGATTATATTTTGTTGCTTGCGTGTTACTTTGATCTCATGCGTCTGTTAATTGGTAATCCGATATTAATCGGATTACCAATTAAGATAGAAGAATGTGAAAAACTATTTACACTAATAACGTCTTTCTACCTCGAGGGATGGTCGAGTCGTCTTCGTTCAAAACATTGGTATAATTGTTAGTTGGTAATCCGATATTAATCGGATTACCAACTAACAATTATAAATGAAACAAAATCATTATTTTTTAGATGCGTTTTTAGAATGGTTCGAAATTTGAATACATTGATGCAAAATTTCATTACATTAAAAACACCGCGTAAACGCAGCTCGTGACCAAACTTATTCCAGAAAGACTGCAGAACACAATACATTCAAAACAACAATAACAACAAATTTTTCTTTTATGAGTGGTGTTTCGTATGTAAAAATTATTAAGATAATGTTGAGATATAAACACGAATTATCACAATTATTTTACAAGAACACAAATGTTTCTTAATAGACATCGTGATAAGAGAAAAAATTCCTATACTCTATGTGTTTTTATTCTAAATAATTTAACTTTTTACCATGTATACAAAGGCTCAAAACGGTTTTCGTTCATAAGGAAAATCGCTTCACCCTGTGGTATTATTGTACTGTACACAAAAACATATTTCTGTAAAGTACACGCCGTACAACTAAACACGTATTGTCTGCTGCAGTCTTTTAAAATAATGAATGTTGAATACAAAAATGGAATTCAGAAGCTTTCGTATTGCAAAACGTCCAAAATCAATTTCATCTTCTTTCTTTTAACAAGAAATTAGTAATTGGTCATAAAGTAGTTTGACTTCGTGGTTTGATGGGTATTCGGCAACCCAATATTTGGACAATCTGCCAAAACCCTTTATGGAAACTGACCCATATTTAGGTGTGAGACGCGTAAAAAAGCCTGAAAACTACACGTGGCCAGCCTATTGGCCAGGCAGAAACCAGTGATCAGTGATGTTATGAAATTCGGCCACTGATAAGCTCCTTCACTTCCTTAAACTCGTTGAATTTTTTTGTCTGTAATTCCAAGCGCATTTTCAAAATCCTTTCGACTTATTTCGNAGTAGCAAAACACAGTAGTACAATGTATTTTGTTTGCACCATAAATAATATTATTTTACTTTCATACAATTCGAAAGCATAAACATAAATAATTTTACGTAATAAATCATTTAACAAATGCATTTCTAGATTAATAGTAAATCGCTTGAATGTAAATTATGCATCGGTAAAGTAATAACATATGGATCATTTAACATATTTCGAATAATAGAAGCAATTGCATCTTGTACAAGATAAACATTAAGATAATGCATATAAATGGAACGAGTAAACATTATAAAATGATCCGGATTTTATGACAAAAGTAAATGCAGTAATCAGTTATCATTTTCGTTAGACATAAACGGTAAATCCCAGCAAATCTCCATCCTGGCAAATTTTTACCAATTCTCTGGCATGGAAGACCAGAAAATGTTCTGTGTCAGATGCACAATCGATCCTCTTTGCGAAATTATTCGATTTTATGGATGCGAAAGTTTGGCAACTTGTTCTCATTTGCCATCAAGATCCAACAGAATGGGGAAATTTTGTTCTCAGATTTTGGAGTTTCT